ACTTTGCTCGTTCATTCAGTTTTTTAGATTCCACATATAAGTGAGATCATATGGTATTTGTCTTTCTCCGACTGACTTATTTCACTTAACATAGTAGTCTCTAAGTTCATCCATATCGTTGCAAATAGTAAAATTTCATTCTTCTTTATAGCAGAGTAATATACTTTATTGTATAAATGTACGACAGTTTCTTAATCCAGTCGTCTACCGATGGGCATTTTGGTTATTTCCAAGTCTCGGCTATTGTAAATAGTGCTGCAATAAACATAGGGGTGCATATATTTTTTCGAATTAGCGTCTTGGGTTTCTCTGGATAGATACCCCAGAGTGGAATTGCTGGGTCATATTGTAGTTCCATTTCCAGTTTTTTAAGATACCTCCATACTGATTTCCATAATGGCTGCACCAATCTGCAGTCTCACCAACAGTGCACTAGGGTTCCCTTTTCTCCACAACCTCGCCAGCACTTATTTGTTGATTTATTGATGATAGCTATTCTGACCGGACTGAGGTGGTATTTCATTGTTGTTTTTATTTTCATTTCTCTAATGATTAGTGAGGTTGGACATTTTTTCATATGCCTGTTGGCCATCTGTGTGTCCTCTTTAGAGAAATGCCTCTTCATATCCTCTGCCCATTTTTAAATTGGGTTGTTTGTTTTTTTGGTGTTGAGTTGAATGAGTGTTTTATATATTTTGGGTATTAACCCCTTATAAGATATAGTGTTGGCAAATATCTTCTCCCATTCAGTAGGCTTCCTTTTTGTTTTATTGATGATTTCCTGGGCTATGAAAAAACTTTTAAGTTTGATGTAATCTCATATGTTTATTTTTTCTTTCATTTCCCTTGCCCGAAGGAATATATCAGTAAAAATATTACTGAGGGTAATGTCTGGAAATTTACTCCCTATGTTGTTTCTCCAGGAGTTTTATGGTTTCAGGGCATACATTTAAATCTTTAATTTGTTATTTGAATTATTATTTAATTTGAATTATTATATTATTATTATTATTAAAATTAATTTGGATTATTGTTATTTGAATTATTATTTAATTTGAATTTGTTCTCATATATGGTGTAAGTAGGTGGTTCATTTTCATTTTTTTGCATGTGTCAGTCCAATATTCCCAGCACTATTTATTAAACAGGCTATCTTTACTCTAATGTAAATTCTTGCTTCCATTGTCGTTCATTAAATGACCGTATATGGATGGGTTTATTTCTGGGCTCT